AGGGTGCAGAAGCAGGCTGGGGGTAGGGTATCTGACCAGGGGGAAGGTACAGGAGCAGGCTGGGGGTGCGGGGTCTCAGCAGGGGGATGAGTGATGGGGTGGGGGTGAAGGGTCTGTGCATGTGGGATAGGCACTTATTTGCCTTCATGCCCTGTGCCACTCCCAGGCAGTGCTCCTAGGCTCAGCTTCTTGCTGCTCCCATTGGCCGGATTCTAGACAATGGGATCAGTGGGGAAAGTCTTCAGGAAGTGCGTCCCTGCACTGCTTTTCCCCCAGTTGGGGGAGAGTGAGAAACAGCATGTGGAGCTGCTTTTGACTCTGCTTCTTCCTGAGGTGGATCTGAGATGGATCCGGGGGGAGGGCTCGTGACTTTCTTCTCCCCGCCCCATGGAAAGCCAGTACTGACCCTCCAACTGCACAGCGTTATCCAGAAGTACACATTTGTTATTGGCTTGGTAAAATCTAATTATGGAATGCACACCAGTTTGGAGTACTTACCCCGTTTTTGACAGTCTGCCCTCAACTGGGCACTAATGGTCATGAGCCTCTCAAGAAAGAATGTAACTTGTACTTCTCCTCCCTCTGTGAATCCCTGGAACTACAGTGCATGTGCAGATAGTCTCATAGGGTATGTTTACACTGCATGCTTATTTAGAAATAAGCTATTTCGGAATAGTTATTCCAAAATAGCTTATTTCAAAATAGCACATCTACTCTTCAGGGAAGCCTCAAAATTAGTCTAAGGAAGGCTTCCCTAATGTAGATGTGTTATCACAATTTAGAGCCCCAGGAGGCATTGGGGAGGAATAACTTAGAATCGCCATGGTGAGAGGCTAATTTGAAATAGCAGCAGTGGAGAGTCTACACTTGCCTTATTTCAAAATAGTTATTTCAGAAGAGATTATTCCTCACAGAATGAGGTTTACAGGTTTCATATTAAGCTGTTCGTTATTTTGAAATTATTTCAAAATAATGGAATGGCTGTGTAGACACTTGCATTGTTATTTCGAAATAACACTAGTTATCATGAAATAACGGAGCAGTGTAGAAGCACCCATAGTGAATGGTGTTTCTAGCTTAATGGTCTTCAAACATTTGATTATAAAGAAACTATGGACACAATATAGAAATTAAATGGATCCAAAGTACAGATGTTGATAATAAAAAAGAGCTGGTGTTATAATTATGTGTTTATACGGTAGTTATACAAAGATAATATTGGTGGGAAGTGGAGATTAATATATAGCCCAGTTTATCAGCTTTAGGCAGGGAAAACCTTAGAAGTACTTAGATATTTAGAAGTCTTTGTGACAAACTCTAGACAGCCTTTGCAAGAATGAATATTCACAATAAGCAGAAATGTTGTTTATTTGTACACTGCAGCCTATATCAGGAAAACGTATGTCACTCAGAGATATGGATAGTCCACCATCCAGAGAGACATAAGTTACACTGATATAAGTGCTAGTGCGCACAGCACTAGGTTGGTGGAAAAAGCTTGAGAGACATTTTGAGTCTGATGTTCACTAAAGAGGCCTGGGGCTGTCACCTACAAAACCGCTCCTTTTGGTTCCTTTTCAGAGACACTGGAGGCCGGATGTGGCCCCCACTTGCCTGGATCCAGCCCCTGGAGGCTCAGGCCTCCCCCCTCCAGCATTGGATAGCCCATGCTGGCACTCCATCCCCCTGGTCTCCCACCGCCCCACCGTGGGGCTGGAGCAAATAAAATCTACTAGCCTGGGCTCCCCTAGGCTCTGGTGTGTGAGGAGAATGGGGGAAATATCTTTCTTCTTCTCAGTTGGGGACCATATCAGTGATGGGTGAGAGCTTTTTGTTTTTTCTCATTTTGCTTCTCATTTGTGTGTGGCCCCTGACTGATTTTTCTATGGGTCAGCAGTCCCCGACCCGAAAAAGGTTCCTCACTCCTGCTTTATACATTCCTTGTAAGTAAACAAGATTTCATCAAAGAAAATACCAGACTCCAATAATTTCTGCTTTCACCTGGAACATCCCTATCTCCCCAAACTAGGACAAGTTGTTCAGGTCAAAAAGGGACAAAAGACAGGACTATGCAGCACTTTAAAGACTAACAAGAACTGGGTCTGGCCCACAAAAGCTCATCACCTAATAAACCATCTTGTTAGTCTTTAAAGTGCTGCATAGTCCTGTCTTCTGTTTCAGCAAAACCAGACTAACACGGGTACATCTCTATTACTATAAGTCAAAAAGGGGTAATAGTTGGTTAAATCCACTGCCAATATGCATCGGTGAAAGTGAGTCATTGTCAACATTAACAGAAACTCTGTTTCTTTTGTCTGTTTGCTCCCTGTTGCTCTGTTCAGTAGCTGATGTGACTTAGACTTGGAGCAGCTTTGCAGGCATAGAAACCCTTAAGCAAAGAGGGGTGCATACACAGAAAGAAACAATATGTAAGTTACCAAGTTTCTCAGAATTTGTTTTAAACTGTAGGACCAGTTCACATCTCATTTGGATCTCTTCCAGAAGAAAAATGGTTTTAGGGACTTTTCCTAAACACAGAGTAATTTACAGGATGCATACCGGTAACTGCTAAATAAATAATGTGACTAAATCAGCGGTTAGCAGCAGCTGTATGCTTTCACAGATAAGACTGAGCTGTTTTGGTTTTTGGTCTACACTATGCAGTTCTGTAGCCCTAATAATGTTTGTGTCTACACTACCGGGTCCCTTCCTCTGATGTAACTTTTCTGCTATATCATCTTTATTATTCCACCTCCACGAGAGATGTAGTGATTAATTTTATATAGACTGACAAGGTGACGGTTCAGATGCTGCCTTGGCTATGTTGACTTAACTGGCATCCAGGAGGTATCCCACAATGCTCTGCTGTGACGGTTCCAGTAAACGTTCTTTACTCTGCTGCCCAGCAGTCAGGTTCACAGGCAACAGCCCCTCCTCTGTTAAAGGACTGATAACTTTTGAATTTAATCTCTTGTTTGTTCAGCACAGAGGGCATACAAGAAGGCAAACGGTCATTCTGGTTCAACACCCCAGACATGTGGCTTTTACAAGAACCTGCAGGCAACACCATAGAAAAATACCCCTTTCTGTTTATGTACTTGTTGGCAAGGCTGATTGCTATGATCAGTCACCCCACCAAACTGAGGGAACCTTTTCGTGGTGGTATATCCTGCACATTGCCCAGAGTCACCACCCTCCTTAGCAGAAGGTGATTAATGGCGTTGAATACTTGGCTAACACCAGCAACGCCATCCCTCACCCCCACCTTAGTAACCAACTCCAGAGTATGTCTACACTGCACAGCTACCCTGCATCTACACAAGCCGCCTGTTATACTGAAATATTTTTCAAAACAGGTGTGCTATTTTGCCATCCCAATAAACCTCATTGTATGAGGGTTAAGGCATGGCTCAAAATAGCATATTATTTCAAAATTTGGCACTGCGTAGGCACACCAAATTTCATAATAAGCTATTTTGAAAGAGATTCAAAATAAGATATGCAATTTTCTTAGCACAAATTGCATATCTTATTTTGAGTTTACGGTGCTGTGTAGATGCACCCTTAGTTAGCCAGTATTTAATAAGGGCTATTTTTATATTCTAATTTTTAATCAAAATATGATGCAGTATCAATTGAAACAATTTATAGAAGTCTATTACACCAACGCTGTTCCCTTTATCTACTAAACTTGTAATCTCCTAAAAAAAAAAAAAAATCAAGTTAGTTTGACAGGATTTGTTTTTCCATAAACCCATGTTGATTGGCATTAAATATATTACTCTGTTTCTATCTTTATTGCATTATTTTGAACAGGATCAATGTCATACTGACAGACCTATGATTACCAGGATCATCCTGTATATTCTTTTCAAATATTGGCATTACAGTAGCTTTCTTCTAGGCTCTGAAATGTCTTTGATGTTCCAAAACATAGTGAAAATCAATATTAATGATCCAACAACCTCCTCAGCCAGCTATTTTAAAACTCTTGATGTAGATTTAAAAATGTCTAAATGTGAGACCTGCTGTTTTCATCCTGAGGCACTAGTAGAATGGAAAATCTGCTACACTGACTTCATCATCTGTTTTCTCCCTCAAATTGCAGTGCAAAATTAATTGTTGAATACTTCTAACTTTGATTATTATTATTGATAGCCATTTCTGTCTAAAAGCGTATCAATACTGCCATTAGGATTCTTTTTGTCCTTGAGGGCATGTTTACGCTAAGAAACTATTTCAAAATAATGAAAATTGAAAGACTAACTCCTGAAATAACCATTTTGAAATAAGCTTATTCCCAGAGGAAAGCACGAGTACAGATTTCAAAATAATGGTCTTGGTAATGTGGATGCTCCACTTACTTTTTCAAAATAAAGGAGTTTATTTCAAAATAACCCCTTAGGGTACATCTAGACTACCGCGTTTTGTCGACGGAAGTTTTGTCGACAGATACTGTCGACAAAACTTCCGTCGACAATTTGCGTCCAGACACATGGAGTTCTGTCGACAAAGCAAGCCACTTTGTCGACAGAACTCCGTAGTCTGGACGCAGTGTTACAGGCAATAACACCTTCTGTCGACAGAGTTCTGTCGACAGAAAGTGTTATGCCTCGTAAAATGAGGTATACCAGCGTCGACAAAACCGCGGAGTTCGACAAAAACGTTACGTCGACAGAACTCCGCGGTAGTGTAGACGCTGGTATTGTTTTGTCGACAAAAGTCCACTTTTGTCGACAAAACTAGGTAGTCTAGACACACCCTTAGTGTAGACCAGGACTAATATGCCTTAAAAACCTCCTTCTTATTATCTTTAATTCTATTTGCCATAGATTTCTTCTTGTGTCCTTTTGCTTCCATTATCAATTTTCTATAATTTCTAGTTTCTGATTAGATTAATTACTATCAATTTCTCTTTTCTTCAATATTTTATTTATATTTTTTATTTTTATATGTCTTCCTTTTCAGTAGGCAAAGTTATTACTTGAATTATACACTACCTATACTGTGGATCACAGCATGCGTAGAGTGGAAGAGTAGTCTCTTTGGGTTAATTCTCCTTTTTCCTGAACAAATTGGAAGGAGTGCGTGGGACCTTGATTCTATTCCACAACTTGCTAGCCGTAGCAGCTGAGCTGGAGAGAAGGAAAGAATGATAGATGGCTCAGATTATTTTCCCCAGGTCTTATATAGTAGCAGTCTAACTGCACAGCGTGTTTTGCTTGAATTTATTTGGGTAAAGTTGAATATGACATTAAGAACTAGATTTTTGATTGCACAGTATAGAGCTAAGTCTCAGGTGCAACATTTGGATACTGATTAGAGTTTCAGTGTTTAATTCAAATAACCCCCAAATCCAGAGACTGTTTGGATCAGGACTTTTGTTTAGGCCTTCTAATACAACCTTACCCCCAAACAATTTATTTCTCTAAACTATGAAACATGAATTTGGACTTTCTTATGTACAAAACAAAGTTTTGATTGTTTAGCATGCTTTGCATTTGTACAAATGAAAAATGGCATTTTTTTTTAAAACTGAAATTCAGTAGATCACAAATCCATAATAGGGAAATCACAAGATTTTATTTAGAAATGCAATTTATAAACTATGCTCCTCATTTTTTCTAAATTCAACCTCTCAGTTTCTTAGCATGTGTACTTCAGTGTTTGTGGCTAGCAGTTGGATTGACAACATATCATTATGGAGTGTCTGATCACTAATCCAAATGCTAAGAAGTATTTATGTGCAAGACCATTACAGCTTAAGCTTCAGTAAACAATACATAACATTGGGACATATATAATAGACCTTCTGTACATAAAAACAGAGTCAAAATACAGTCATCCATAACAGTAGCCTTCCATTATAGTATTCTGTTGGGAAAATAATACATGTAATGTCCAAACCAAACTACCTATTTAATTAGGTAAATAAAAAACCTTTTAAATGCAGTTCAATACATATTGCACTGATCCTAAGTACATATTTGCAAGAATTACATTCAGCTGATCAAAACATCAGAACAAAAGGTGCCATTCTAGTTTATCAGCTTCCATGATAAAAAGGCTTTCTTTTTTTTCTCTCTCTTTTTGAAGTTTATATCTCAGAGCCCAGAGGAATTCACAGGGGAAGAAAGCCCTCTATATTTAAATATTGTAAAAGCCAACAGATTCAAAAGGTACACTTAAGCCAATATTCCTTTCTGATTCTTTTCATTGTGCCCTGGTCTTGTGCTGTCTGTCTGTTTTTCACAGATGTAGCACAGATCTAAGCTTTGAATATCCTGGCTTTCATGGTTTGTATCAAGATGTAAATGTGATCCAATCTCCTTTCTTTGCCTCTGAGATGCAGGCACCAGGAGCATTGATTTCCTTAATTTCACTCATCTTTCTCAAAAGGTAATTTTTTATTCTTGCTCAGTATACTGGCTGGGGATGATGGCCTAATTCTGAGCACATCAGGTATAATCACAATTTGTGAGTGTGTGTGTGTGTGTGTAGGGTTGTAGGGGTTTTTTGTTTGTTTTTGTTTTTTGCCACAAGAACTTTGAGCAACATGTACCTAGTCCAGTAACAGAATATTATTGACAGTTTGACTTTTAATTACTTTTTATACACTTGGTTCTATTTCTGCACTATGCATCCAAAGAGCTGGTAAACTCCTTAGCCAGAATCCAGCTAAGTATTTAAGCGTGTGCTTAATATTAAACACCTGAGTAGTCCTGTGCACATCAGCACAAAAGTGTTTTGCTGGATCAGAGCCAGAGAGCACCAGAGGTATCCCAAAAAAACTCTGCCGCATCTAAAGAATGCATCTGCTCTTATCTTTTTTTTTGTAGAAGAGCAGGCGCACTCTTTCGGAAGCCCCGTTTTCCTCCTCCCACGAGGAAGAAGGGCTCAACCGAAAAAGGTTTTTTTTTTTTTTTAAATTTAGGCCAGTATAGACAGACCGAATTTTGGAAAAGCCTCTTCCAAAAAAACTATCGGAATTTGTGTGCCTTTTTCCAATAAAACCCCATCATGTAGACATAGTCTCAGAGGTATAACAAAGGCAGCATCATAGAAACACCATCTCTGCAACCTGACATCTCATGTATTAGCTTCTTTAATTCCTCTGTGACAATGTCTCTGACTTTGAAATAACAATATACTGGGAATAGTTTCTAAAGAGTTATTTTATTAGTCATCTGTGGTTTATTTCAGCCCCGTATCTATATCTCAGGATATAGCCGCTAATGTGACTCACTCCAGGATGATTATGTTGTGGTTTCAACCAGCTGCTACTTGGACTTGGAAGCCTTGGTGAGGTTTGTGTCTGTAATAATTCCATTTGGTAACCGTGGTGATGCAAATATATTCAGGAATTCTTCTGGCATGAATACATATTCTTTTCCCCCTTACCTATTCCTTGAGGAATCGTTTTTACCTTTTTCTCCTGTGCCAGCAGGTGGCCTGTCACATCTCTGATATTTCAAGTAAATCTCAATGATTTCTGTCTGTCTGTTCATTTCTGCACTACAGACTTGTGGTTCTATCCTGGAGGTAAAATGGCACTTGCTAGTGTGCAGTTGTTGTTGTCACTTGCCTTATGGGCTGCCTGCTGAGCTGTCAGCCTGAACATTGTTTTTTGTCTGTCTTTCAAAGTAACATTTTTGTTCCTTTGCCTTTTGTCCGGCATTTGTAATCCTAGTGTTCATTCAGGTCAAGTCGTTCGTGTGGAAAGTAAAGTCCTTGTTTACGTGCCCATTAATAACTGAACTGGAGAAGCTGCTTCTACAGGTAGTATCTGAAATCCTATAGAACTAGAACTCAACCGTTATCACATTTAGCCTCCTTTAAGATATTTTAACTTTGTGCCATCTTGCTCCTCTGGAGATGTTTCAGTATGGCAGGTTATGTTCTAACATCAATTGTAGAAAATTCCTACAATTCTCCACTTGAGAACTGGAGACTTTTGTCAGTAACTGGACCCTCTGATCCTTGCTTGTTATGATTTGATATGATTCAGTAATCCCCTTTCTACTGCTTAAATAGCAAACTTCACCCTTAATACAGCTTCTTTCTTCTTCTTAAGTACTCAGGCTTGGAAGATGCTGGTGTAGTGGCTATATTGAAAGCCTGTGTAGAAAATATATTGCTTAGTAGGGGTGTCTGTGAAGAGACAATTCAAGTCAATGGATCCAAATTACTCTGATGGCTTCTCAGAGAAGATCCTCCATTCACAAAGTATCAAGTCTCTTTCTCAGACAGGGTACCTGCCTGGAATGCATTACTTACAATGTCCTGGCCTGGGGAAAATCTAGACTTTATTCAGAACATAACACAAATGTAGTTTCTTATGAAGCAACATGGAGTTCAAAATTTGACACAAACCTATCCCATTGGGTCACACAAGGTCACTTTTGCGGTGTTCAAAAACCCTCTCGTCAGTGGAAAGGTTCACAACTAACACAGCTACATTTCTATCACATTAATAACAGTTAGCTTTTGACAGGGCATAGAGTATGCATTTGCATTGCATTAATTCCACTAGGTCTTCAAGGCCATGGATTTTTTTTTCTTAAAATGTTCTACTTGACCCTTGCTATCACAGAATTAACTCCAAAGATGACAACTACAGTGGCAGTGCTAATGTAAATTGACCCACATTTTTTTCCACCAAAAAGGAGAAAAGAACAACCCTTCATTCCATTTTCACAGTGGAGTCTGGAAAAAGTACAGAGCACGGAACTGTTTTGCTCATATTATCAAAAGAAGTATATCTATCAGTATGGACGGACTTCAAGGGGTTTCAGATTAAATGATTTATCCAGACCAGTTAGAAAGCTCATATAAAGACAAATTAACAAGCCTGGGTCCAATTGTCCCAATCTGATCTATTCTGTGACCTCTGCCCATACAGGGGGAGGGGGAGAGAAAAGTGGGGGGAAAGACAGTCACTCAATTCCCTGACACCAGCCATATTAAGGGAGTTCTATGCCAATGGTGAACAATCTTTGGGGAGGGAAAAATCTGGCTGTATTTTGTGCATTGTCCCCATCACTGCAGAGGAGAATACGCTGAAAAGTCAATAGTCTCTAGTGATGTGGCAAGGAGATGGGAGCATGGTTTTCTATGGGCACAGGGCTTACCCGGGGATCCTCAGGATCAACAATTTTTGCAGGATAAATCTCCTCCTTCTTCTGCAGGGGAGCTAATAGTCTCTGCTCCTCATTCAAGTATTGTATGAGAGAAACCTTGTGGGTGGTCCTTCCTTGGGCCTTCCACAGGTTTCCTGTACATAGGGAAGGCAGAGCCTTGTTCAGCCCTAATGAAATCCATGTCTGACTGTACAGGAATCATTCACATTTCTAAATGTGTGGCTGTAATGTGGCCCACATGGCTCCAAGTTACAAAGGATTCATTGGCCCTGTTTGAATGTGACTGTATAAAATAGCCTGAGAGTGAGCTGCGAATACTCTGCACATCCCCAGGCATGCTTAATGCCTACTGCAGCATTCACTGGGGCCAGCATATCAGCTGGCCCAGTTTGAGGAGTGTATATTAAAAAGAAAATGAAAGACTCAGATATGTAATTTCAAACAATTTGCCACATGTGGTGACGGTAGCCATGCGGAGCTGCTGCTAATAAGAATTGAGTCTGGGGAGCCTGAAAAAAGAACAGCATAACATTATTTATTTATTTATTTATTCTTTTTGTGAACTTGATGGTAAGAAAAGAACCAGGGGACCCCAGATATGAAGCCTGGAGCTGGTGGAAGTTGAGGGGGTTGAAATCAGGGTTGCTTCTCCACTCTCTCACACCAGTGCAGCTCTCCTGACTTTAGTCCCTTGAAACCTCTTTTGTGCTGGTATGGGGGAGGGGGAGCCAACAGAATTTCCAGGACCCTGGAAAAGGTAAGGGGAGAGGCTCTGCACTTCCCAAAGGGGCAGGAGGTCCTCAGATGGAAGAGGCGGGGTTAGGGGCAGCCAGCTGTCAGCACTGCATGTAATGCATTGCGCAGCGCCTCCCCCCAGCCAGTGCATAGTGCTGTCCGCAGTGTGCTGCCTGGAGTTCCGGCTGTGATTTAAAGGCCCCAAAGCCAGTGCTCCCTGTTAGCTGTGCGCTTGAGCAGCCACCGAAGAGAAATCCAGATGCTGCCCAGCTGATTAGCAAAGCGCCCATTGCCGGCAACATATGTTTGTGCTGCTGGCGCACATCTGCTCATGCCTTTGTGCACATAACAAAATTTATTCCACGCATGGATGGAAAAAATTAGAGGGAACATTGCCCAAGTCTCCTGTGGCAGTTGCAGTGGCTGGAAGCCCTGGGCTCCTTTGAATCGCTGGGCCTTGGGGCAGTTGCCCCCTTTGCCCCACTCCCAAGCCACCCCTCATTGGCGGGCCTATGCTGGTATAAGGGAAAGGAGAATTGTCCCCTTTGTCTCCAGTGAGGATGCAGCCAGCTATTGAATGAATCTGAGCATCTGGCCAAAGAACCACACTGACATTTAGTACAGAAGATTACGCTGCAGAGAACCTCTGTGAGAGAGACATTCAAGAGGGAAAACAATCACAATTTTCTCCTCGAGTTTCTGTTTTCCTTGTCTGAATAATGATCCCTCAGTATTTCCCCAGAAGGGATATCACTTTCATAGGGATGCTATTGCCAAATATCTATCTCAAATGTCACATGCTCCCAGAGCAGAACATATATAAACAGAGCCCTGCATGTGAAGTGGTGCTGATACTCAAAAGCTGATAAGGAAAGTGTGCTTTCAAGATCTCATATAGGCTGCAGTGTGTGACTGAACCATTTTCCACTGAGATATTTGGGTGTGCATCATTATTATGGCCCTAAATAATATTTAGGGGACTCGATAATATTAGCTGAAAGAATTAATTCTGATATGTGTATTCTCTGATGTGTCTATTGTTAGCTGCCTCCACACAGAGAATATTTCAGCTGCACTAGAACCCATTTAAAATAGCTAATCCCCCTCTCTCCCCACTGCTCCTTGGCCCCTTTGCTTGCTTTAATTAAGCACAATGAATTAACCTCTGGCTTACAAGTAACCCTTCTCAAAATACATGTTATAATACTGCTGAAATCAAATTAGATTTCACTGCTTGATCACCCTATATGATGATGCATGAAACTGTAATACACTGTGAAGATGCTAGTTGATCCTCCTATGGACATGCAGGGTTTCCACTGTCCTAGATACGGGCCATTTCTTCTGTTGCTTCCAGCGGGGACTAGGGCCAGGTAGTGGGAAGGGCTGGCTCTGCACCCCAGGAAGGGGTGGGGCCAAGGGCTGCGAGCCCTTAGCAAAGTGGTCTCCAACCTTTTTAAGCACGAGATCACTTTTTGAATTTAAATGCAATCCAGGATCTACCTCAAACCCAAACATCTTTGCACTGCCTCCTTCCGGCCCCTTCTCCAAGGCCTCGCCCCCTGCTCACTCCATCCTCCCTCCCCCATCCACACTCACTTTTATAAGGCTGGGGGCAAAGGGCTGAGGAGTGGGGAAGGGGATGCAGACTCTGATCTTGGGCTGAAAGAGTTGGAATGTGGGGTTGGTTCTGAGCTGAGCCTGGGGCAGTGAATTGAGGTGCTGGTTCTGGGAGGGAGTTTGGGTACAAGGGGACTCGGGGCTAGGGCAGAAGTTTGGGGGCAGGAGGGGTTCAGGACTGGGGCCAGGGTTTGGAATGGAGGCTCCAGCTGGGCACTGCTTACCACAGGTGGCTTCTGGGTGGTGGTACAGAGGACTAAGGCAAGCGCATCCCTACTCTGGCCCTGCACCACTCCCAAAAGCAGACACCAAACTCTCTCCATCCCTGTCCCCCCTCTGCTTTGTGGAGATGGGGTACAGGGTGGGGGAAGGGGCATTCTAACATCAGCAAACTCTCCTCTTCTTCCTGTGCCCTGTATAGCAAGCTAGAGGCTCCTAGGGCTGGGGGCAGAGCTCCAAGGCAGAGGGAAGAAGCAATCACAGCAGTGATTACAGAAGCAGATTAAATGCTCCTGGCCAAACCTGTCAGGATCACCTGTCAGAGGCTCCAAGATCTACGAGTAGATCCTGATCTACTGGTTGGTGACCACTGCTGTAGTCAAAGTACTTTGAATGGCCGAGCTCCAGAGTAATTGATGGGCCTGGCTGCTTCTAGAAGACTAATGAATGGTTGTGATGAAAGACCTGACACATCATCCCACTAGGCATTGAACAAAGAGACACTGAGCCAGAATTTCAAAGGTATTTATGCATCTGAAGATGGAGACAGCCTCTTAAATACCTTTAAAAATCTGGCTCATAGCCCAACTCTCCCAACCTTCCAAAGAGTTGACAAACTAAGGGCCACATTCTGGACTGAAGGGCTTGCAGGCAGTCCACAAACTCCATGTAGGTAATAAGTTTACAGCTATAAAACACACGTTGGCCAAAAAGCTCTTGATTGGAAGTCAGTGGGTTGTGCTGTGGGTGGCAGGGTCTGCCTGCACAATGCTCAGTGAAAGTGTGGAGCTAGGTCCTGAGAAGACAAGTAACAGAGGGTGTGTCTAGACTACATGCCTCTGCTGACATAGGCATGTAGATTAGACAGATAGGCAAAGGGAAATGAAGCGGCGATTTAAATAATCGCGGCTTCATTTAAATTTACATGGCTGCCGCGCTGAGCCGACAAACAGCTGATCAG